CAGGTTGGCCGGTCCTTACGCGGCCGTGTTTCCCAATAGGGTAAAGCCGTGGCTTTCTGGTTTATGATTTTGGTTCAGAATATCAATGAAAACTTATGTTCAGAATATATATTGAACGTTCATGTCCCAAGCCAAGCTTCGATTTATGGGCGTACGAAAAGAATCTGGTTTATTATGTCAGTGGACAAAATTTGATAGAATAACATTGTAATTGATTTGAAGTGATCTCATAGATAGGAGGCCCGAGTAAATACAGCGGTTGATATAGCCACATACATGCTGGTTGTGAACGACTGTGTAGTGATAGTAAGAAAGAACATATATTTAGTTTTAGTACAACTACATATTATTTATTTGCTTACTTTGATGCCTATTCCGTACCTATTTACTTGTGTGGCCTGTTATGTAGTTTAGGAACTGACATTCTGAATGAGAAAAACACATCTCTTCTTCCTCTACTTCACTCTTACCTCTACCTTACTTATACCTCTACTTCACTTCTACCTCCACCTCACTTCTACCTCCACTTCACTTCTACCTCCACCTCACTTCTACCTCCACTTCACTTCTACCTCCACCTTACTTCTACCTCTACTTCACTTCTACCTCCACCTCACTTCTACCTCCACTTCACTTCTACCTCCACCTCACTTCTACCTCCACTTCACTTCTACCTCCACCTTACTTCTACCTCCACCTCACTTCTACCTCCACTTCACTTCTACCTCTACCTCACTTATACCTCTACCTTACTTCTACCTCCAATTCACTTCTACCTCCACTACACTTCTAGCTCCACCTAACTTCCACCTCTACTTCAATTCTATCTCCACCTCACTTCTACCTGGACCTCACTTCTACCTTCACCTCACTTCTACCTTCACCTCACTTCTACCTCCACTTCACTTCTACCTCCACCTCACTTCTACCTCCACTTCACTTCTACCTCCACCTCACTTCTACCTCCACTTCACTTCTACCTCCACCTCACTTCTACCTCCACCTCACTTCTACCTCTACAGTAGACCGGCAACTCTCGCGGATGCCACAGAAGTGTAGTCACTGAGTCTCCCTTCCTTCTGCCGCTTTACGAGGGCATATTTATTCAACATTTTTTGTACACCGTTGTGCATTTCTAGATGCGTGAACATACACGCTTATAGGCACGTGTACGCCATACTGTCTATGCAAGCACGTGTACGCCATACTGTCATGCAGGCACGTGTACGCCATACTGTCTATGCAAGCACATGTACGCTGCCCATTAAATATCAGTCTCATCCGTCCCATCTCACCCCTAATTCAGGTATAGTTAGTTAATCCTAATCTTAATCCCCCATGGATGAATTCATTTATTTATTTATTTTAATTTTAGATATATTGGATTTAAAAATGATAGTAATACTGTGCATTTACTGCTTTCATCGAAATCTCGGTCTGTTAGTCCTTATGACCGCCACTGCTTAAAACACGAGGTTTTGAATTCATGGAAGTCGTGGTCTGTTGTGTCTATGCGCTTCACCGCTTATAAGAAGAGGTTTGGTCTACAAGAAGTCGGGGTCTGTTTGTTTAAACTGTGCTGTTCGTGATTTACAAATTGAAAATGTGCTGTTTGTACATGATCTAATTAAAATGTGGTGTTTTTTGATCAACTAACCCAGCTGTTGTACGAGCACCGGCGCGACTATGTGCTGCAACTCGCGGTACGATAGTCAACTAACGCAGCTGTGGGCGGGCACCGGCGTGATTATGTGCTGCAACTCGCGGTACGATAGTCAACTAACGCAGCTGTGGGCGGGCACCGGCGTGATTATGTGCTGCAACTCGCGGTACGATAGTCAACTAACGCAGCTGTTGGGCGGGCACCGGCGTGATTATGTGCTGCAACTCGCGGTACGATAGTCAACTAACGCAGCTGGTGGGCGGGCACCGGCTTGATTATATGCTGCAACTCGCGGTACGATAGTCAACTAACGTAGCTGGTGAGCGGGCACCGGCGTGATTATGTGCTGCAACTCGCGGTACAATAGATAATTCACACAACCAATGGAGCTCGTTCGCGACCTGCGCCACCACTGTCTTTTCATCCACCGTCGCAGTCATCTACATCAGAACGACTTTTACTTTGGATTTTGGTAATCTATAAAAACTATTACGAACTAAATATCTATATTTTTCTGTCCTGCTTCGAACACGCATAGATAGAAACTTTCTAAAAATATAGTAAATAAATTCGTACATCATCTTATAAAATCTTATTAGTGGAAAATTCCCTGAACTGAATGTTGCGGCTGCTGCTCAAGGAAACCTGGCGCTCGCTAACATAAATTATAGAGCTGCCTCTAAATATTCACGTGATGAGTTCGAATGAAGCAGGCATTTGTCATAATTTTAAACGAAAAATTTCTTTGTTTAGATTTTTTAGATTATGAATGACTTTCGAATCGTTGATAATTATAATGGATTATATTTCACTTCGCATTGCTTTTAAATTAATAATCAGTGTGCAAACGTTCAACAGAATTCATTCCAAATTTTGCGCAAATCCTCCACAAACAACATTGCTATTGAGCCAGTGTACTGCATATGGAAATAATAGGCATAGTCTTGCTAAACCCATTCATCCCACCGGATGAATGGGTTCCCAACCGGATCCCAAATGCACTTAACCACCTAATGCCACCATCCTATCTCACCCCTGATTTGCTCTTCATTGTTCATCCCGGCCATTCATGTGCGAGTGGTAGTAGCTGTGCCAGCTACTATCAGTGGCACGGTATGAATGGCAGCCGCCCGGCCATTCATACGCTAGTGGTAGTAGCTGTGCGCCCGTTTTAGCCGTTTTAGTTTTCATTATTACAGCAAAGGAATCGCCGCCCTTGTTTCCAAGTCAACTTGTACCAGAATATAAAAAAAATGCAGATTGCGATAAGATTTATCATAGTAAATCAATGATGACCTTACAGTTCATCATATATGTCTCGTGATCTATGGATGAATGTGGTTGGTGCACTAATGCTCATTGCCATGCATGACTACTCGCTAGCTTTATTCTATCAAAACCCAATGTATGCTCACAGAACGTTGAGCTTCACACACATGTTTAAAATTAGCCACACGGCCTCGGTAGGGTTGCCCAATCCCAACACAAAACACACACACACCGCAGTTCAGGCGAGCGACCGCTGCTGTTGACGCTCTAAACACACCCACCCTCTACACCACTCCGTTTCATTCATAAGTTTGGCCACTAGTCATGAATGATGGATACGCCAACACCGTTATCTGTAGCACTACTCCTCCCTTTGTTAGTAATTAAGAAATTTAAGAATGAACACAATAAAGACTATTGTGTTAGTTTTAATATCGGCTCCTTGAAATGAGGTGACTTGAGCTGGAGAGTTCGTTGGGAATATGCTATGTGGGTGGACGGCGTGAACTGTTGCCAGATGTAGGATCTTATCTCGGAAATTTTGTGTCATGGCTGGGTAATGTGTTCTACGAGTGTTTTATTTATTTACATGAATGATATTGGGAAACTTTATTATGATGGGTAAAATTTGATTTTGCAAGCTCATTTCAATGTGAAATCAAGAGTTTGCAATGTAATCAAATATATTAAGAAGGCGACAAAATAGAATTTCACAACAACCATTGATGAACTTTCGATTAGCATGAAACTTGCAATCACCGTCACCGGGTTAGTCGTACTTAGTTTCATATAAAAAATTTTACTTCGTCAGAATAGTATTATGTCGATCGAATTTTTTCATAATTAATCTTGTCATATGACTATTCCGCATTTAACAGCCACGATAAATTTGTAATTTTTGTCACTTTTGCGTGTCTCACCGTAAAACATTTATCCAATAGAGATTAATGCCTCCATGTGAAATGGATGACATTATGCTAACGTAACGGCAATAATTAGCCGTTTAGTTTGCTAACAGTATTTACCTCCTTCCATTCTCGCGTAGACTTTCTACAGTTGCTCACATAAGCCAGGTTATATAGTATTAATTTTATTACCCTACACCAACTTTTCATATTAAAGAGTACATTTTGTGAACTTCCATAAAGTATACATAAACTCTGCAAACTTTTTGACATCGCATCGGCTTCTGACTTGTGAACAAATCCCCCATTTCACGACATCTTCCCCACATTGAATCAGTGTTCGTGTCTTGTACATTCGTTATTCTTTGTCCCTCATAAACTTTTGATCCTTCATCAATATGATGAGATTCATTTCATGAAATTCTTCTCTCATAAACTTGTGATTTTTCGCTGATTTTCCGAGTTTGCGTTGACTTTCTTGTCTCTTATTGACTATTTTATTTCCGCATCAATGTTCTCATATTACGGCATCATCTTTTGTGTACTCACACATTTAATCAATGTTGAGCCGATATTTTCTATCATCACTCTCACTTTAGTTTATAAAAAGTGTACTCAAATTCCTTTTAAATACTTGCAGCTTAGTTGTGCAAGAGAAGAAAATGTCTCCGAACTTCTTATTAAAGAATTAGCTACATAACGGTCACAACTAGATGGCCTTCTAAATGAAAATCGACCGCTTAAGCAACACGAAATTGAATTGTAAATGAAACTGAGCTGATTATTAATGTTATTTGCATACTTGCTTCATTAAACGTGTTGCGGTAACTCATCATTGATATAATGCCTTCTTTCTTCAATTTCTCATTGATATAATGACTTCATCCTTCAATTCAAGCTCAGGTTGTTAAAAAGTTTTGTTTAAGGTTAGTTAGCTGTAACGCCATGTGTTTTGATCTGCAAGGTGTAAAGTGACCGATAGATTTATTGAATTCGGATAATTGTAGATATCTTATATATATGTCCGTAGTGTAAATTCAATGAAGGATGTATCAAGAGTCATGATTTCAATGTAAGCTTGTCCCTCTGTTGTCTGAGTTCCTGAACTAACTGTAGGCTATGCAGCTGCGGTGCGCGTCACGACCTGCGCACAAACCTGATTTTACATTGAAAAGCCGTAGTTCAGTCGGAAGTGAGCCTTTGTCACTTTCAGAGTGATTTTTACATGATTGAAAATAAAATAAAAATCCCAAATATTAATTAGTTTTTTTGAGACGTTCTAAATGATCTCTATTTCATAGAAAGATATCAAGATAAGAAAGGTGAAGATAACTTCGGTTGTACCCGTCGCTCCATTCACGTCTGCGGTTAAGTGAGGCTGGTCTTGCGGTGTCTAATTTCCCTTCCATGCCGTTAAGGTGCCACGAAAATGTGCCACAGCAAGTCAAAAACTCACCGAAATAGCCTCTTGCAGTATATAAAACATGACAGAGGGAAATGATGAGTAAGTATACCGTTTTGTGTCCAAAAACTTGCGAAGTGTTGGTGATTCGAGCGGCGGTCTCTCCTTCGACGTACCACGGTCATGGTCGTCCATTTTATCTCGCTTCATTTACTAAGCTTTATTTTTTATCCGAAGTATAACGTGCTCGGTTTTGTGAGTTAAGTGCCGGCATTTGATAAAAAGCATAAGTTTATTTTCAAGTTTGTGGTCTTCTGAAGTTTTTTTTATTAGCGGATTTGTTTCTAATAACGTGTGGGAAATGAACGAGTTCCCCTTATCTCTGTGATCGTGTTTCATGAATGATTGCAGGAATGTTACTGTACTGTGAGTTTTTCTTTTTTATAGCATTTTTTGTTTTTATTTTATCTTAATTTTGTCAGACTGTATATTAAATGTCAGAATAATTTTGCCATTCAAGTGATGAATATATTCGATTGTGCGTTGCATGGTTCTTTGCGGTGGAAGTGAAATGGTTAAAAAATGACAGGATTTATTGACAGCAGTAGAATTCGATTAAAATAAATTATTCTGTGAAATCATTCTGAAGTCAATAGCTTTTCATGGGTTATCAAAGATTTGAGTATTTGTTTTTTTTAGATATGCATTGAAAATCATTTCGAATTAATTATGGATACTACATGACATGTTTATATTTGAAAGTTTTGGATGCTGTTGGTCGATTTATACAATTAATTTTATTGACATTTTGTTTTCTATTGATTTACTCCAGTGAAGAATATTTTCTGAATAGATTAATTAAACTTGATTCTTTTCATCTGTTTATCTAAATTCTAAAGGCCTAAGAATTATTTAGTAAAGAACCAGACTAGGAAATACTGAATAGGCTAGGTAGCTAGTTACTTACTTACTTACATGGCTGCTAATAAAAAGAGCTTTGTTGCCACCCAATTTTGAAAAACTTGCAGTTTTTTCCTGGAATAGGCTATTGTTGCTCCATCCACCCATAATCTTAGTGAATTAAAATTCTTGAGGCTGTTAAGTCATGTAGGTATTTTGTTTGGATTAGAAATTGCATGAATTGTGATTTAACATGGTAACATTTTTGTTATAGTGAATTTTTTACAACACTTTCTTCAACTTCTTGTTGTTTGTTTGTCCATTTGTTTTTTTGTCTGCTACAAATCTTATAATTGATATTTAGGGTAAACGCGGTATATTCCGACATCGTAGGTAATTCCGTCACTTCTCTAGTTTTTCCTTTATATTAAGCTTTGTTTTAGTTCCATCATCAATGTAGGGTAAACGCGGTATATTCCGACATCGTAGGTAATTCCGTCACTTCTCTAGTTTTTCCTTTATATTAAGCTTTGTTTTAGTTCCATGCGTTCATTGATGGTTGAAATGGTGACGTCATACATTTGCGTGTCGAAATACTCCAAAAACACTAGGTCTTGGCCATCTAGCGGGAAAATATTGAGATCCAAAGAGAGACAATGCATGCCACGTGGTGAGATCATCGAAGTGAAGGCAACAGAACTTACGTAACGCATACGTTTTTTTTATAGTTTTTCATTTTTCGATGCGTCCTTAAAGTGTCGGAATATACCGCGTTTACCCTAACACACTTCTATGAGTTCTACCTGTCCAATCTACCTGAAATTTTGCACACTTGCGTGAGTTTAAAGTTGGTGACAATGCATGAATCAATTGAAAGAAAAGATACTTTAAGAAATTGTAACAAATTTTCTTCGTATTGAAAAAATGCAAAAAACGATTTTGTCTGCTCCAAATCTTATAATCAATATTTAACACACTTCTACCTGCTTAATCAATCTGAAATTTTGCACACTTGCATAAAGTTGAAGGCAATGCATGAATCAATTGACAGAATAAATAATTTTGAAATTTTAATTTATTTTAAATATTAAAAAAATTACAAATTAAATTTTTTAATATATGAAAATAAAATTTGAAATTCATTGTACATGTGTAACATTGGAGACACTAAATTCTTTAGAAGTGTTGTATTAAAAAATAATTTTTAAATGCATATTATTTACCAATGTATAGCGTTCATATAAATGATATTAAATTCTGTGATTTGATGTTGAATTTTAAACATTATATAAGATGTTAAAATTTAAACATTGTACAAGATGTTGATCTTGAACATTAAATAAGGTGTAAATGAATTAGATTACTAATAGAGAGTGGCCAGGGCTTTGTTTTGTTATATTTCACACAAATGGGTGCTTTGGAGATGTCAAGTTGCAATAAGGGGGTAATATTTGCATGGTAATGATCACAAATGAGTGGTCCTTACGAATGTTGAGCTCAAGTTTCTTACATTTGAAAATGTTATTTTATCATTGATAATCTTATGTATGTAATTATTTGGCAATGGCTGTGATGGATTTGTAATATGCTAAAAGGCATATATAAATATATACATATATAAATATTTATATACTTTACATTGGTAGTCCATTGTTCTCTCCTGTGTTGTGTCCAAACAAACCCTTCTTAACATTATTATTTACTTGTCTTGTTTCTTTCTGCTTATTTTTAGTTTGAATTCTTTCAGGATTTTATATTGAAAATGTAGGCCAATTTATTCTATTATAAAATTATGTGCAGTGGCAGTGTGAGCAGCAGCAGCAGCAGCAGTGGTGGTAGTGGTGCCTGGTGTGGTGGTGGTAATGGCAGCGTCACCAGCAGCAGTAGCTACCTGGTGCGGGTCCATGCACAGGTCATGATGCGAGATGACAGTCGAGGAGGTTGGTTGCCCCGCGGTGGTGGTGGACTTTCCAATGTCTCAGTTGTGAAACGAGTTATCCACCACCATCCTCCACCACCTCCTCCACTGCTGTCTGTGCATCATGTACATGGAACCAGCAGCAGTAGTAGCAGCAGCAGCTCAGCCACCAACAATCCACCATTGCCACCACTGCCATCCAACCACCAGCAGCAGCAGCCACAGCAGTACCACCATCACCACCACCCACACAACCATCACCATCATCCTCTACACCACCATCATCATCACCATGCAGCATCTACATCATCCTCACAGGCATTCTCATCACAGCCAGTTCAGCAGCATCTTGATGGACCTACCAAAGAATATCTCATTTATGGCAAGAAAATCAGTGACCAAAGTGTTGTTCTCAGCTGCAGCATACGCAAGGACTTTGAGTATTACAAGGTGAGCCATCAGTTGACTTATGTGCTCTATTAATGTTGCTTGTATTGCAATATAAGTTGAGAATTTGAAATAGTAAACGCAGGAAAGTGTCAGAAAAATTAAATATTATAGAAAATGTTTTGCAGTTCAGCTTCATCATCAGCCTGTCAAATCTTAAAAGCAAGTGTATATATTATACCTACCTTATACATTCCTGGCAAAGTTGAAATATGCCAAACTGATGTCGGAAATTGAATTGGCAATAAGCAGACAACTTAGGCAAAGCTCATCTAACAACATGTGAATAAAAACGAAATGCAGCTTTCAAACTAGGCTTCTGTTTAAAAATATGCTATGATTCTAGAATTCACCAGTCAGAAACACTTGAACTTATAACTATAAATTTTAATTCTATTATTACTCATCTAAGCCAAGTTCCATTATTACTCCATTTTTTTCACACTCTTTGCTCAGGGAGACTGGAAGTGACTATATCAAGAATATGAAATTAATTGTTTTGCAAATATGATGGTAATAGGCCAAGAGTTATAGAAATTTTGAAACTAGTTTTAGCCTCCCTGTGGTTTTTTAACTATGATAAGGAATTGTCTTATGAGAATTATGATCAAGACTTCATATACCTATACCTACATAGTTCCCAGTAGCTGATATTTTCAATATATTTTTACTGTGCTGGATTTAATCATTAAAATAAGCTTTGATCATAAGCTTTGATGAACTGCCATAAAGCATTGAGGTCCATGTTTTATTCAAATCATCTTTAGATAATATCTGGTGAGGTCTGTGGCACTGACCAACCCAATCGCTAATCATTAACTATTAAATTCCAGTGGATGTTCCATGAGCTAAACCTTGTATACATTCTAGTGCTAAGCTCATGTATTTACATGAGAAAAATGTATACACACTTGTCTAACATAAAACATCAGGGAGCATCCTGCACTGCGCTGGGATTGTCAATCATTTTCTGATTTTGCACAACATTTATTCTATCTTACATTATTTTTTGTTTTGAATTAGGTTTATGATCTTGCATTAAATTGAAGTGTGGGGTCTGCACAGGTGATGCCCACTTTCCACCACTGGCGGACGGGCGAGCACAAGTTTGGGCTGACTTTCCAAACAGCCGCGGATGCCAGGGCCTTTGACAGGGGCGTGCGGCAGGCAGTTAAGGAGCTCATGGACGGTGAGTTCCGGGCACTGGGGGGTGGGCAGGCAGACAAGGAGCTCATAGACAGTGAGATCTGGGCATTAGAGGGACAAGCAGTAAGAAGATAGATGCTTAGATTTGGGCATTAGGGGCGACAAGCAGTCAAGGATCCAATGTATGGTAAGATTTGGGCACTGAAGAGAGAGTGAGCAGTCAAGGAGCTCATGACTATGAGGTCCAGGCATTGGGGGGGGGGCAGGCAGTCGAGAAGCTCATGGACGGTGAAGTTTGGGCACCACGAGAGAGGCAGTCAAGGAGCTCATTAACAGTGAGGTCTGGGCACTGGGAGAGGGCTTGAGTCAACCTACCCCACAATTACTGTGTGTGTGTGCTGCTAACATGAACAAAACGCTTTTCTCTTTCACGTGGTTGACAAGCTTGTGATGTAATGAAAGGTGTAGGTTAAGGGGGGCGTCTACCCTTAAGTTTCGGATTTGGCTTTTCCTGTTTTTGGCTCATCTTAAAGCTGACATTCTGCCCTATCCAACGGAAGTTTCGGATTTGGCTTTTCCGGTTTTTGGCTCATCTTAAAGCTGACATTCTGCCCTATCCAACGGTACCATTACTATCTCTGTACGTTAATTTATGCGTTCACGACAGATCATGAAAGTGAGGGGGGTGGGGGAGTTCTTTAACAAATAAAGTAGGAGGAAATTTGCTGCGAGCACTTTAAATAGAGTGTCTGCTTGAGGTGCACCTTAGTTACCCGCCTGCCGTCGTATGAGGTGTGCATGCAGTTGCTCCCACCATTCTTGACTGGAATCAAGCTCCAGTAACGTTTAGTTTTGTATCCTTGCTACATTGAGCGCCTATTGGCTATTGCAATGCGCGTGGAGCTTTGTCGCACTCTTCTGAACATTAACACTTATTGTCACGGCAAACCTATCTCCTAGAGTTACAAAGCTAAAGCGATGAGACATATACCATTCGATTCGTAAAGACCATACCTATCGATTAACGAAGCCACTTTTTAGCGCATTTTCTCATTTATGGAAAAAATGCACTATTGTGCTCGCCATGTCCGTCTGTCTGTCCGTCCGTCCGTGACCTCAAGTTTTCGTCAACGAGAAAATGTGCTTCCTGTCACTCAGTGCAGTGAGTACTGAGTTATATTTTTTTAGATTTGTGCATAGTTTGGATTCAAAATGGAGGGAGGGGGAAAATCTGAAGAAAATGATAAGTATACGGGAAAATGCGTGTAAAAAAACTAAGGCAAAAATCAAGCTTCGTTACTCGATTGGTATGGTATTTACGAATCGAATGGTATATCTTTTAATGCTGTAGCTTGAAAACTGTAGGAGAAGATAGATTTTTAAAGTACCCCCTTTTTTGTCCGTTTTCTATGAATTTCATGTTTTCTATTAATTTTTCCGAAAAATTCATATGAACAAAATCTGCTTGTATTTCGGTTTTACATATATGTGTGTGAAGTTTAGTAAATAGTTAGTTTAGTGTAGTTAGTTAGTAAATGTGGAAGTTTTTCTGGAGGGTAGACGCCTCCTCCTAGGGGAGCGTCTACCCCAAATTTAATCTCGGTTATTTACAGACGGATCACTTTTAAACTTGGTAGGTATATGTCAAACAGCATTCTGAGACTTATTTGTTCATGTGGATTTTTCAAAAAATTAAAGAAGACGTGAAATTCTTAGAAAACGGCAAAAAAGGGGGTACCGTAGAAACCTATCTCCTCCTAAGATTTTTAAGTTACAACATAAAGACACATATCATTTGATGCGTAAAGACCATATATATTATTCCTAGTAGGCGTTTTTTGAAATTTTCATTTTTGTGGATGTGGGGGCATTTATTGTAAATTAATTGAAAATTTTTCTATTTTACCCCCTATTACCCCCCGTTTTGCGGAATAAAATCCAAACTATAATGAAATTAGGAAAACGCGTACTATGAATTGTGGATTTTTTTTTTGCAAATCGAACGGTATATGTCACATTGTTGTAGCTTTAGAACTATAGGAGGAGATAGGTTTGCAGTGACAAGTTAACTTTTCAGTAGAGCCTGACAAAGTCGCGCGCGCCACGAAATAGACATTCAAGGGTACAAGGTTGCAAGACTAGACGATACTGGAGCTCAATTTCTGTCAAGGATGGTGCGAACGACGGCACGAGAACTATCCCGTACAACTGCAGGCGGATAACTGAAGCACAGCGTGTTCAAACTATGTAGCTATTTCAGTGGACTGCCGGTAATTTTGGTCTATCTTAAATGTTGAAGAACTCCACCACCTCTAACCCTTTCGCGATATGTCGTGAACGCATAAATCAACGTACAGAGATGGTTTTGGTACCGTTGGATAGGTCAGAATGTCAGCTTTAAGATGAGACTAAAAACCGGAAAAGCCAAAATTTTAGGGTAGACGGCTCCCCTTAACATGTTGATAACAATTATCTTGGTCTTTGAACTTTTTAAAGTTTATTTCCAACTATTCAATAATGGATATCCTCAACCTCGTTAACCCATTTCTCTAGTATAATATATTCTGAACTTCACACCATTGAATTTTTTTATTGCAAACCACCGGCATTATCATCCATGATCCACTTAATTAGTTGCAAAATATTTAATGTTTCATGCCTGCCCACCATTTGCTACCACTATTTCCAAGTCTGCGTGTGAATTAAACTTTAAATAACTAGAATTTAAAGTCTAATTTCCAGTTATTGATCATTCTTTTTTTGATTGGTTTCGTGAGCATTCTGCATTTCCAACATTTTAATACAATGAAAGCACACAATTGATTTAGCTTCTTAAATACTCCATATGGATGGTATTATTTCTTTAACTAAAATAGACAAAATAACTAAAATATTAATAAAATGTTGTTGATTAATTTTATGTTTGGTGTAATGCATCAATCAATCTAAGCACCCATAAACCTACATTTCGATTTTCAGTTTTTTTTATATAATTCAAATAAGAAGTATTTGAATAGCTGAAGATATTTATTAATCAGTATTGATCTCTGTACATATAGATCAAGCTCCACGAGTCTTTTTAGAGCTTATTGAGTTCATGATCCAAAGTTATAGACTAGTTTTATTGTAGCAGTTGTATCTGCCACAACTGTCATGCTAATGGTAACTAGCATCAAGTTAGTGATTCTCATCTCTCTTTGTATCGTCTACAATGTGGCATAACCTAGTTCCATGCTAGAAATCTGGTAAATCTGTTATTTTAATTAACAAAAGAGACCAAGGAATGATTTAGCAGGTATATATGTAGTTATATAAGTCAGAGTGATTTTGGTCAATTATTTACTTTAATTTTGAACATGGATCATTAGATTGTATTTGGCAGAAAAAGAATTAATTTCCATGAGTATATTAAGTACAAACGATCTCAGTATGGACTAACACTAACTAGTGTCTTAAATTCTTCTGCATTTTCATATCAAAGTAAAAGTCAAAACTAGGAGCAGGTTGATATGTAATATGGTGTGGTAAGCTACAATTATAGCTCATGTAATTTCCATAGAATCTATTTTAATGTTATTTATTGTATTTTCTATGGGTTGCTAAGTTATTCATATTAATTGGTTTGCATCTTCTTTCAATGCCTTAACCCGGCCACAACTTATGGGGCTTTGTTCTGGTAAGTGGCTGCTTGCAGGCGCCTGCTTGCAACCTTGCTGTAGGATTCTTAGCTAGTCCTCTTAAGTACTCATTTTCCTTTTGTTGCTTACCTCATTAGTCATCTTTCCTTTCTTAGATAGTCCTCTTCCTCTCATTACCGGTCTCATTAGCCATCTTTTCCCTCTCAAGTAGTCCTCTTCCTATCATTGCTGGCCTCATTAGTCATCTTCCCCTGCTTAACAAGTCGTCTTCCTCTCATTGCCTTTCTCATTAGCTATCTTCAGTTTCTTCTTCAGTTTCTTTCAATCACAGCAATCGACCACCAATTCATCGTCATGAAAACTGATCTTAAATTCTCATTTTGAAATGGTATTTTTTTCTACTTACGTGAATCACATTCCCCATTATTTTCTGTGTAGAGGTTCATTTACTTGTAAATAATATAATCTTAAGATTTCTATTGTTTTTGCCTGTTCACCGTTCTCATATTTTTTGTGGGTACCAGTCATTATTACTAAAGCTGTATGATAGTTGGCAATCAATTACTGATAAAACTTTGTAAATTTTTATTTTGTTGTATAATAATTCAGTTGAAGCATTGTTCTCTTGATCAACTGGCAACTCTCGAAACAACTGGACAAGTTGTGCTTACTACTATTGCCATTCTTATTTCCTGTTTAATTCGGTACAAGCGTAACAATCCTGTAAATAATTTTCAGTCACGAGTAATTTGAATGATCTTTAAGACTTGATCAGTAAAGATAGTGCAGGTTAACACTGTGAACAACTGGACACTTTGTGCTTACTACTATTGCAATTCTTATTTCCTGTTTAATTCGGTACAAGCGTAACAATCCTGTAAATAATTTTCAGTCTCGAGTAATTTGAATAATTTTTAAGACTTGATCAGTATGTAAATATAGTGCTGGTTAACACTGTGATCCACGCGAATGCAGTCGGCAGTCTTTGATACTAATGTTTAGAGTTGGACTATATTTAGATATTACTAAACATTTCATACTTCTAATTAGAGAGAGGTTTACAATATTGTGATTTTATTGCAGGTATGGGTGAGGCAGAGTTTCCAGCATCTCCAGTACCCCCAGTACCCCGTAGCTGCCTGGCATACCCTCCCACCTTCACCCAACCCACTCTGTACAATGTCCACCCCGCCCTTCCTCCTCACAACCACCTGCAGCATTACTACTACACCCCATTTGACGACACTGACATTTCCCCTTCTGAAGAGGACGTCTTCGTGGCAGTCAATCTGCCCGTCAACGATTCCACGGGCAACGACGCGCCCTCACCCAACGCCCCTTCCTCATCATCGGCCGTCTACAACACCGGTGGGGGAAACAATAACGGGGGGAGCAGCAGCTCTGCCTCACCCACTCACCTGCAGAGAATCAGTTACCAGCACCGTAGACCACCACCTGCTTTACCCCCTGCATTACCACCTCTTAACCGAAGCGATGACGATGTTCTGTCTGGGGAAGATAAGAACAAAGAGTTGCGACCACACGCCAAACCTGACGGTGAAGGGACTTCAGATTATCCTTACGTTCAGTTTGTTCACGATCGACCATCATCGCAGATGGACAAACCTCCACCTGGAGGTGTAATCACGTCACAGCCACCTCTGAACCACGATTATTACTACCCGGTTATTGAAGGCAAGAAACCCGATGGATCCTCTCGTGAACGTCGCGACAGCATAGACTCAATCAAGAGAGCCAATCAGCTTCAGGACCAACAGCTGATGGTTGCGAGTACTCTGAGCAGCGTCAGTGGCGGCTTTGGATTAAGTTCTGTTAGCCGTAAGGATGGCAACTTGCCCATGAGGTCCCCAGCAAGTGTCTTTGGAAGCTTCACTAAGCCAGACGCCACTCGTGGCGGTAAAAGTTATGATGTAAGAGGCGGTGGTAAACAAAAAGATGCTCTTTCAAGTCTTACAAGTGGAGGAGGCCTCAAGCAACAGAACCTTAAGGGCAATATAAAGTTACAATGCCGACACTGCCGCGATAGTTTCTACCCTGAGAACAACCCACGGGGGTCATGCGAGTATGCACCTGACTTCTTCCGCTCTGCTATGGACGCATTGACTTGCATCGGTTGTGCACAATGTATGCTGTACCACTGCATGAGCGACAAGGAGGCCGAGTATGTACGTCATCCATGCACGTGCAGTGGTGGTTGCTGTGAATCCACGTGTTGTTTGCCGACCAGAGGTTTCCCTTGCTGCTGCTGTTCCTGCTGTCGGTGTTGCAGGGGTGATGGTGATCGTGGTACCGACATGGTGCATGGTGGACCTCCAGATCCTGGGGGTAGTGAGATGGTAGGACTAGGAGCCAGTAAGCCTGGCTCAAATATTCTTGATAACGCTGGCAGTGGCTGTGGGCGCCGCTGGGTCGGATTAACATTACTATCACTTTTGGTTCCTTGCTTGTGCTGTTACCTGCCACTCAAAGGTTGCCACTCAGCCTTCGTGTCATGTGGTGTTTGTGGCGGCAAACATGAAGCTGTGGCCGGTGGTGGCCGCCACAATGCAGCATCAGAGGACAAATTTGGCCCAAAGCACATAGAGAGCAAACTGGCCGCCGCCACCAGGGGCGGTGGTGGCGGGCGCTACACTGCTGGACGTTTCAGCGGTGGCGGCCGCTTTGATGGAGGTTCCTGACTGTCAGCACCACCATCACCTCCTCTCACCACCACCACTAGCTGCAGCTCCCCCACACAGAGCAACCACCATCAGCACTATCTCGTCAACGTGCTCGTCAATCAGCAGCCTTGTACTCCACCAGACCTCGTGGCACAACAAACCACTGCCGGCAACCTCATTAAGCTCAGCGACGTAGCGCGTTCGTCACGCAAACGTACCGCGCGTCACAACGTTTATTCTGATCCCCCACGAGGGGCGTCCGTGTCCCCTCAGAGCTCGTCCCCCGAGAACGGCTTTTGCTGCACTCCCCCCGTCAAGATGGTCACCGGGCAGCCAGTGATGATAGGCTCCCCTCTCAGCTGTCCGTCATCTCTCAGCAATTCTCCTCCTTGTCGCCCCGCCTCACTCGTCCATCAACCAGCTCAGGATGACCGGCATCTTGCTGAGGATGTTCTATACAACCCTGCTCAGGATCTAGTCCATCATCCTCCTAAGAATACTATCCCTGATCCCTCCGAGGATCTTGTCAATATGGCAAAGGATATTACCCTCCCTCTCTCAGATGATCTTGTGCTTCATTCTACTGACGAAATTATTTTCCCAAATATTGCCAAAGAAACCTACACACGCGTCCACAAAAAAAGATCCAAGAATGTAGCTCCTTTGGACTTGCCTATGACGATGTCGACTAAAACGTCTTCTTCAGGCCCAGCATCTCTGCCCCGTCTTTCAAAAGCTTGCCCCAGCACCTCCATGACTCACTCTCACCTTCCTCCTCACCTCGAGAAAACCCGATCGTTATCCACGGACACTGTGTCTGATCTGCACGGCAGCCTCAGGAAGTCTACGTCGCATTCGTATGCTCGGCGACAGTCGCTTTCATCCAATGCAAATTTCGCTGACACTTCTTTTGTTCCACGTCCTATGACGTCAAGTAACGGCAGCCAAACCTCATCATCGAAAAAGTGTGGCAAGAAAGTCCTGTCGTCTCGCACACTCAGTGTGGGCAATAAAAATTCAAACTTTGAATTTCCTGGTAAGCACAAAGCGTCCGAAAGTCGTCACGAAAGCGCCGTTTTACGTCGAAACGCTCCTTCTAAACACCACAATTCGGTTCCAAATTTGGATGCTTCCGTTGCAAATTTGGCGTTGCGTGACTTCGGAACATTTGCTTCTGTGGCACCTCTAGTGGATGAGCCACTTTGTAGATCAAATGCATATGGTCTTCAAGAATCGCCGAAAGAAATAGTTTCAGATTACTCCAAGGAATTTGCAGTGGCTCGCAGTGGGGAAACTGGAGTCTCTAAGGAAATTGGGATTAATACAATTCAAGAAAGCAGAACCTATGCCTCCTCTAAAACTCGAGACGACGAAGCCATCGTTACCACACCTCAATACAATATAACTAACGCTATTAAAGTTCTTTCTGGTGAGGCAGCTTCCTCCACCTCTGGAAATGATGGGAATATTAAGGTCATTCCTGGTGATGGAATGCCCTCACGAGCGTCACAAGTGTCCTCGTTAAACGAGGGTAGCGTTATTGCTTTAGATGGCAGTGAGATAACTTCGGCTACTATGCTTCCAGAACATCCAACTTGTGAGGCTGCCTGCAAACATGTTGATGCTAAACCTGATGTTGATGCTGGTATTACTGCTGCTGCTGCTGGTGGTGATGATTGTAATGGTGGAAATGACTCCTCAAGTCACCACTCTATTGAAGATGATGGTGGTGAATCTACGAGTTTACTCTCATCACACGATGTAGATCGTGATGCGAGCGCCAGATAGGCGCTGCAATATTTGTTTAGCTCTGTACTTTCATTATTTTTGGTATTTATATTGATTTTACTTCAAGTTTACCATCAGAATGAGAATCTATGTGAAACACTTAAGGGAACGTATTCAATTGCATACCGGTATGCTATTTTTTTACGGGAAGCTGAGGTGCACATCTTGAAACAATTCTGAATCCCCCAGCTTTCTTGGAAATTTATGAAGAAATTTTAGTTGATGCCATCTTGAAACTAAAATACGTTATAGTTATAAGCAAACTGACTCTCTCGGCAGCGATGCGCTATTTTTGTGTCTTGTTTGTGTTCTCTTCTTTCTTTAGCTCGTCCGTCTTTAAGGCTTTCTTGTTTTTGATGCTCTGGAATTTCATCCGAGTTCATTTATCGTTGCTCAAATGTTAGTTATTTTTTTACGTGGGACAGCTTTTGTGTCATTTGTGGGCAACTAGGTAGTGCATTCCATACACAAGTTGACGTCTAGACATACTACTCTATATCTGGTTAATTGTGTGACGCTACTTTAATATCAGGGACTTGCATTGACTTGGCTTTCATTATAAAACATTATTTTCAAGTTGTAACATGTGCTTGCTTCAATTACTGACTCCATGGCCACAAAAATTTATTTGCTTATTGTCTTCAGCTCGAATCTTTTACAAAGTAATCGTATTTATCTTCCAAGTGGGATTAAAACAAACCGTTACTAACTTACTAGGAGAAAAATATGTTGCCTTTTCCGTTATAACTGTGATTTGGAGACTTGTGAGGTTTTCAGTCCTCTATCCTGTTGTTAGCAGGGAAAGGAAAGCTTCAATTCGTATGAATTTTTTATTCACGTGGCGAATGTTGTTTATTTATGAATATCTTGTCGGGCATTATAGTCTCAACGCACTTTGCCTAAAAAGTCGGTTTTAACAGTCAAGAAATTTCCACTTGCAGTTCTGTGGAATCATTGGAAGTAATGTAGTGATCACTAAATATTTTTGAAGTAGTTATGTTGGAATCTAGATATATTCATGATCATTGAAGATGTGTTTCATGTACCCGAGTCTCACCAGGTTCTGCTTCCCATGTGCTATTTTGACGCGACTTGTCTTTTTCCACTTTTAGGCCCAGACTATTTCTTTCGGAGCCAGACGCTTGCGCCTCGTGAATTTGTGCAGCTATTGATTGCTGATTCCGCTGCCCCAAATACAATAAAATAGTATGGCAATTTCCTACTCCGGGTCCCGAAGTTCTGATGGACGGTCAAGTGTTCATTTGCGAGGTTCCTTCCTGACTTAGCTGTTGTTCATGTCATGGTAAATACGTTCTGCCGTTTTCATCTTGGCCATTACTTATTGTAAATCTTCTGATCTGTTACCGTGGGACTGCCGTGACTGCTTTGTTCTTGCCTTGTGAGTTTATCCTTGCAAAATGACTTGCGCATGGTTTTATTGTTAATTTCGTCTATTAACATAAGTTTGGTCATCGAATATACTGTATAACTGTGATAGGTATGAGGTCACTGCATAATTTTGCCCACACAAATTGTGCTTTTTTTTTTGTCTCTTTCAAGTGGATGCATAATATGTTTTCAGGGAAGGTTTTTTACGCTACCATTTTGTGTCGAATATAAAACAATTGTTGCGGGTAATAGCTGGGTTTGAAATTGGTTAGAAATTATACTTCTATCGTCGTTAAACGCTGTCATTACGGTGCCTTTTAAATTCGTCGTAATATTTTTGGTCTGAACTTTTTTGTCATTTGCTGTCAAACATTCATGGTGGGAGGTATTTGGCACATTGTTAAAGTAACCATCAAGATTTCGTTGCTCAATCTGTATAAACGGTTCAGTTTATTCGGATTGTAATTTAATTTTGCATAATCATGTTGAATAGATTTCCTGTGACTGATGGCAGGATTGGATCATTTATGTTTCGCCATGCATGTTGAATAGATTTCCTGTGACTGATGGCAGGATTTGATCATCATTTATGTTTTGCCACAAGTTGCAAATCAATTTTAGTGTATGAAGTTTTCTTCTTGATCATCTTGGCCAGTGTTGACGTTCGCTAATAGCTCTGCATACTTGCTAGTTTTATTGAATATTTTTCTAATTTAAGGAAATGTTTCCACGTATGATATGATTATTATGCGTCTGGCAATATCTCAATTTATTAGTTTATTTTTAGCTTAAATAAAAATTACGTTGTGCTTATTAGGTTCACACAAATTACGCTTACGGCTATTTAATGTTATTGTTAGCTTATGATCCTCTTTATTGTGTTCTTTGATTAGGAGAATATTGACAACTTGTGTGGTTCGTGTGCAAACAACGTTGATTCGTGTGCTAACGAGGTTGGTTCAAGAGAATACAAGCGTTTAGTTGCGCAAGCCTGAAGCTGTCCACAAGCTTAACACTCGATAGGAAGTGACCGCCATTTCCGTATTGTTTTCTCTTGTCATTAGTAGCGGGCTGAACTAGCTACCTTAGGTTATTTTTCGCCACCAAATTCTTTAAATTTAAATAGTTTATTCGTTTTTTATTGTATTGCCATACTAAGTTTTATATTGTTTAACTGTACTAAATGTTTATTTTGAATATTTCGAGGGAATTATTTTGATCTAAGATCAGTGGAGTGTAGTCATCAAATGATACCAAATTTCTAATAACCGATACCTATGAATCTTGTGCAGGCCAAATTACCATTCATTTGCCCCTTAGTGAAAAGCGAGTGCAGTATGCTATCTCAGTTCAGTCATTTACCGTGAAGCAAAGATATGTGGATCTCGCCTCGAGATGTGCATAGTTATTTGGAATTCACGTGTCTTGAGTTCGTGTTGACGTTGCCCTTCAAGTTCATTGAGACGTGGATTAGATCCTCTTTTTGGGGGCGCAATTTTAGCTTCAAATATGGAACAATTGATAGGATTCACTTTAGATTCTCATTTATAGACGAATGTAGGTTGTACTTGGGCATTTCAGTTTTAATCTTCGAACTTGTGTGTTCTGGAGTCTCTTAGGCGAGAAGGAAGAGATTATCAAAAGTTCACTACTTGGTCCACAAGTGGTGTTGTAAGGTGATGTTGCCGGTGGTGATGCCGGTGTTTTAGGTGATGGTGCTTGTGATGATGCCGGTGTTGTAGGTGGCGTTGCCGGTGTTGTTGCAGAGGTGTTACCGGTGATGAGATGCGAAATTTGCGACCTACAAAGCGTGATCGTTATAAGACTCAAGGAATTTTGTTCTATGTTATCAATTCATAAGAGACAAACGAAGAGGTGATCGCGCATAAGTTGCGATGAGAACACTGCTCGATGCCGCGCCTAATAAGTTCTTATTCGTGTAATTGGTGACGATGTTGGTGTGATGAAGATATTATGTCTTATAATGTTTTGAGTACCTGCGATAACCACTAACGTGTCACCACTCATCACCAACACTTCACTAGAAGCACACAGTTAATAAGTTATTTTAGAGCATCTCCTATTATCGTTTACCCTGTCGACTTTTATCTTTTGGTGAACAGTCCAAAGAAACTGCATTTGTTCACAGGGCTCAGGAGCGAGCGCAGCGTTCTTTGGCAACCGCAACGCGTTCTGGTGTTGTCGGTATTTGCTTTCACGTCTTCGATAAACCGTGCCAGTACGTTGCAATTACGCTCATTTAAATGCGATGTCTAACCTTCTATTTTGATAACGATACAAATGTGACTCCATGTTTCGAGGTTCTTGTTGATTAATGATACGACAATCCAACGACTGTTTTTGATTGCATTAGGTTTATTTATACCAGCTCTGCTTCGTATAAATGAAGCTTGCTGAAAGCATCCTTCTTCTATATCATGCAGCTCTTGAAATGACGAACCAATTTCATCTATTGTCGATGAAACATCAAGTAGAAAAACGACCGCATTGTCAAATGCATCAAACCTGTTTTGACGAAAACATTTATCTCGAACTGCTGGAGGGCGGATTCATTGTTGAAAGCGTTAGACATTTATTGTACACCTACTGGCACGATTTTCTCAAGTATCCAATATGGATATATTATAAATAGCATTAATTTTTAGCAGTGAGGTCACGAATTAATCTTTATTTATCGCTATTGTGATTGTTTGCTGTTCTCGTGGCTGTCACTAAATAAGAGACGGTGAGGCGGCCGCGAGTGTGTGCTTCCAGCTCCCGACCGCCGCTCGTTTTAATATTTCTCATCATAGAACTTATGTTGTTGAACGAGAAGCTCGAGCATGTTGCACAGCAGTCCGAAGTCATACTAGTGAAATTCACTCGAATATTTGTCTTGGAGAAAAGCGTGAGAATTCTTGTAATATTTGGGTCTAGAACTGCTATCTGGGGACACGTAACACGGTGCGTAATTTTCACAAGAATTTCCAATTTAATGCAGTAATTCAAAGCATGTAACATAGTTTTGTATACCGTAGTTGGAAAAATGTAGAAGTTTCTAGTAGCCGGATTTATTCGAGTAGTTCGTTCGAGGGTGTTCAACGCTGTAGAACATGCTTTTAGGGAACATTTTTCGACTTATGAGTTGTTAATAATAACAATACACTCGTGGAACCTGCAGTGCCTCATGACCGGGTTTCTTTATTAGACGGAGGTGCTCGTATTTGCTGAATGCTAATATTACGAACCAACACGACATCAAAGGTTACTCGTACAATGTGAACACGGTGGACGCCGTGAGACGTATTTGTTCTTATTATGTACATAGCTTCTTTGATTGCTTCATTCATATCTTTGTAATGTGAGCGCAAAAGCCAGGTTTATGTTACTTCAAATATGTACATATTTATCATAATTATTACCATCATTATAAGGTGCTGTAATGAACTCTGTGCCGTTGGTTAGGGAAAGCACAAACGCTCTCTTCGGCCCTAAAATTCTGTGCGATCTGATGGACGAGTGATCACGCTCGCCTTCGTGCGTGTTTCGACGCTTTCCTCCCAGTATATGTCAGGAATGATTCTTTCCTTCCAATATACGTGTCTTTAATGACACTCCCCTCCCAGTATACGTGTCAGGAATGACACTATCCTTCCCCCCGTACATGTGCTCGGTGACCCTTATGTACGAATTCTCAACTCAATAATGCTTAGCAACTCCTCGAAGTGTTCAAGGAGACCTCAATGTAATCCATCGAATGTTGTCTTGACTGCATTTTAAGCGTATATCTATAATCTATCGTAAATAATTTCATTGGAATATGCGCTCGTTCCATTCTTTTACTATTATTCTAATTCTTAAAGTGTTGATTCGTGCGAACATTTATTTGTTACTGTTAGTTCTCAACTGTTGCTGATGCCACCAAAGGATCTTGTCCGTGCTTCCAAAACAGGGCGTGTGTTTCTCTACTTACACAATCTTTCCCCCTTTGATTAGGATGCTAACTCTAACTTTCCACATCTTAACTGACGCCGACTGCCAACCTTTTCACGTCACTCCCACTGAACAACTTTAGCAAATGATTTCAATTCAAGTACTGGACGTAAGCTTTCGTGGGTTAGTTTTGACATGGGTCTCATCACAATATCAGCTCAAGAATTTATTGATTAAAGTAATGAGGAAAATGTTATCCAACCATGTTACCAGGTAAAATTTCCGTGATTGGCCGGGTCTCTAACTTATCTATCATACGTGTTGTAAGGTATGGGGTGCTCTAAAGAAACTACGCTATATGCTCTTACAATTAACCACTATTTTTACTCTGGCTACTTTGCAGTGTTCACGCTAACTTCTGCGATTATTTCTGGATTCAACTTCTCC